GACAAGTGACAGACAGGTACAATCCTGTATTATAAACACTCAGAACAGGGAAGCCACAGACTCCTAATTCAGCACCAATGTGTCTGGGTAGCGCCATGGCAAAGCGACCTCCAGGCTGAGCCCTGAAAAAGCAGAAGCTGGTGAGATCCAGGCACAGCTGGCGAAGCCCTAAGGCTCAGTGAGGGTCAGGCAGGGCGGCTTGGTGAAGCCAGCAGGTGCCTGGGCTCCTGCAGGGTGAGGGCAAGGGGGACCCTGAGGGCTGTAGCGACAGTGACATCAACTGATGTGCTTCCTAAAAGATCATCTGGATGCTGTGCAGAGAACAGACAGGAGGAGGGCAACGGGGAAAAGGGCAGCCTGACCATGAGTGAGGCCATAATCCAGGTGAGACGGCCGTGATCTGCACTGGGATGTTGCTGCCTGGGAGCCCCTTGGAGTGGATCTGCCCGACGGTGCTGACTAGGGTGGGGGTGAGGGAGAAGGGAGGGTGGGCAGCTCCCCCTCCTGGCCACACCAGGAACAACAGGTCCTCTGGCTTAGTTGGGCCAGCCGTTCATGGAGCAAGGAACTGGCAGATGGCGAGCATCTTGGGAGTGTAGTTTGGGAAGTGTCGGTGGGACACCCAAGGGGAGATGTCTAGTTGAATGTTGGGTCTGGAACTTAAAACCTGTATTAAGGAGAGAGTTTCGATTCCACAGATAGGTGTGCAGAGGCCCTAGGGAAAAAACTGCAGAAGCAGAGGGCAGAGGAGGGGGCTGGGGGTGGTGGGGGTGGAGAAGGCAAAGGGGACCGAGAAGGAGCCCCCAGAGGGGTGGGTGTGGGATCACAGAGGCAAGAGGACACAGGTGAGAACCAAAGGGGACATAAAGGGGCAGCATGACAGCAGTGAAAGCTCAGAGCGACTCTGGAACCAGGCTGCCCCAGGCTCAAATACTGGCTCCTCCCCTTACTGGCAGTGTGACCTTGGGCGAGTCACTTAACCTCTCTGTGCCTCCAGTCCCTTGCCTGTAAAGGGATATTGTGAGGAGTGAATGAGTCTGTACAATGCTTAGAATAGTGCATGGTGAGCAACATATAAATGTTAAGGAAGAGAAAGCAAAGGTCCTGGTGTCTTGGAGACACAGTGTCAGGGGTGAGGTGGGAAGCAAGCCAGACAGCAGGGAACTGAGGCCAGACGGGACAAGAGAAGGTGGCAGTAACTGCAGCGGGCTGGGTGGGCGGGGCAGGGGAGAGGTGGGCTGACTCACTGGCATGGATGTCACCTCCCAAGGACACGACCCAAGAAAGATAAAGGAACCTAGACTAGGGTCGGGGAAACCTCCAGGGGGCCCAACTCCCGCACCCCCCGCTCCTGCCTGGTGTTCTGGCAGTGCCAGCTTGACAGGTCAGGAATGCTGCCCTGCGCACCCTCCCTCTGTCCTCTCCCCAAATAAAAGCACTCAGGCCCCAACTGAGCTGCTTCCCAGGAACATGGACTCTCAGACCCAGAACAAACCAGTGGCCCAGGGTCTGGGGCAGTGCGTGGCTGTCCCCAGGTTCCCACATGTTCACTCCGCTGCAGGCAGGCCTGATGGGCCATGGGGCCAATTCTGCCCACACACCAAACAGCAGAGGCTGGTGGGACCTGCAGGGGCTGGGTCTAGGACCAGGTCGGGGAAGGGGTGCCCCTGGTGGGGGGACAGACTTTCGACTGCCCCCCAGGAATAGTCGGGGGCACCCACAAATAGCCCAGGGAGCAGGTGCAGGCCTTCAGCTGTTCACAGCCTCCCCATCCTTCTGCCCTCGGGACCGGATCCATCCTTCCACCCTCTCACCTTCATCCATGGCCCCCCTCCTGCCCCCAGCATACCTCCTCCTCGACCCTCCTACCTCCTGCATCACCTCCCCTGGCCACCCTGGCCCTCCTCCTCCTTTGTTGGAAGCGCCTCTTTTTCCCGTCTCATGGGCAGTCCTCTACCCTCTCCTTGTCTACACCCACTTCCTGGGTTCACTTGCCCCATGACTTCAAATCTCATCTACTTATCAAAGGCTTCCACGTTGCTATCTCTAGTTTAGGCCTCTTCCCTGAACTCTAGTGCCACATTCCCACC